ACCTTGGGGAAGAAGTAACATGCCAGTTTATGGGTAAGCCACAGCCTCGTGGCAATATATAGATTAACAGAAATGGGCTAATAATTAAGACAGAGCTAGCCAATAAGAAGCCCTAGATATTGGCAAACAGTTTTAAATTAATATAAGTCTTTGTGTGTCTATTTGTGGCAAAGTGGCTGTGGGACCAGGCAGGACAGAAACCTCCACCTTCATTAACCTGATCTAGAAAATGCCCTACCTACATGGTAAGAAGTTTCTTTCTGTGGGAATTCTGGATACTGTCAAACTGAAGTCACATGTTAATAAACACTTGTAATAATCGCACACAAGTCTGTGATAGTCACTGATGAGGCATAAATACAAATTCTAGGATATCTGTGGATTTTGTACTGTTGCAGTCACATGATCTCTTCAGGGGCCTCCTGCATGCTCCATCTTATGAGTGTATAAGTCCTATGCACAGCTTTGGGGCAGGAAGATCAACTCCATCTATGAGTTTCCTTCTCTGTCTGGGCTTGACTTTGTCCCTGCCATGTGGCCCCGTTAGTCTTTTGAGATGAGAATAAGAAATTCACAGAGGCTCTTAGAGTAGGGTCTCCTGCATTCAAGAGGTATATTTCTGTGAATTTTCCAAATATTTTGAATAAATACTAGTATACTTGGAGATTTCCCATGCTTTGGAGTCCATTGATGACTCTTCCTATGGTCTCCTTAATTTCCCATCGGCTTAGGAGAGAGTGGGGACAGGAAACATTCTCAGGCATCACCCATAGTTCATTCTGTGTGGCATCAGGTTCTCAAACACTGTGAACACCTTACCATACGCTACCTGAGCTGGTCTCAAACATGAGTATCTGGAGAGTATATTAGGCTTCATGGGCAGAGAATAACACTGAGGTTTTATAGTAGTTGCTGTATAGAACATTTCAACATATTTTCAATAGCAACTAAGTAGACTATTCAGCAAAGATTCTAGGAAAGGTAGGGTCCTAATTTGCCCACCTGATTTTTTTCAGTATGTGGGGTCTCCAGGATTCTTCCAGTCAAATGACACAGGTATTAGATGATTCAAATATCTACCACCTAATAGGTGATAGGAAATCAAACATGTCTAGCAGAATGGAGGTGGTGTGAGACCCTACCTCTTTGGAAAGAAGTAAAGATTTTCCCTGGAATGTTCTGGGAGGGAGAGTTCCACACACTGTATTTGGACTGACCATAGTTATATGAGTGTGGGATGATTTCTTCCAAATAGGAGGCAAATGAGTGTGGCTTTGAAAGGGCATTTGTGAATTGTCTTGTATCTCGGGCATCTCTGATTTTTGTCCCCCTGTGAGGGCCCTAGAAAATGAAAATAGGTGAAGTCTTTATCCTGTTTAGTGGGGATTGCATGAATGCAGTATGTCAGCTGCCAGTCAGAGGCTTATCTGACCCCCATCCTGGTTATTACCACAGGGAATGAGGAAAGAATTCTACAACCCCCTGATACAGAATTATTTCCCATAGATCCTCTAAATAAAACCTTTTAAAAAATCTTTTTGAAAGTATTGGGATACTTGCTCTTGCTAAGTAGCCCAGGTGGGTCTTGAACTCGCATCATACCTGCCTCAACTACTAAAGTACTAGAGTTACAAACAAGTGCCACCATGCCAACTTAGATGTCTGTTTTTGAGTCTCAGGGAGCAAGGAAGAAGAGAGGGCAGAAAGACGGTAAGAGCCAGGGGTCAGGGAACTGGTGCAAAACAGTTTCTCCAGGACTGAACTCTATACTCATGAGCTCTCAGCAGCTATGGCTGCCTAAGCAAGACCTGCACAGGATCGAGCCAGGCAGTATTGCATCAAGGATGGGGGGTGGGCATCATAAATGTCTTCAGTTTAAGCTGAGAATCTATTTACAGTTGATGGCTTCTGGGTGTGGGGGTGGTCAGTTTTCTTCAAAGGTGTGGCCCTTGGTGGTTTAGCCGTACTCCAATCGATGGCCCCACAGCTATGTGCATATGGGCAACACTAATTAGATTCCGTGGGTTATTAAAGAAACAACAGCAAGAAAATATGGGCATGTTGTTGGAAGGAGAACATGGGAAAGAGAATCCAGGAGGAGTTGGCGTGTGGGGGAAAGGGGTGACCAGGATCAAAACACAGTGTGCACATACATGTACGCAATTCTTACTAAAAACTAAAAGTATTATGCTAGAAAGGTTTATTTTCTTTAAAGGAAACAAACAAAAATACCTGTAAAAATCTCAGTACCCTTCAACCACCACCACAAACAAAAGCATTCAAACTGTATTTTGTATCCAGAGAGAGCTACATGGAGAACAGAGAGGGAGACAAAATGCCAGAACTGAGGAGTGTATGAGAATTGGGTTAAAGTACATGCACATAGATTTTTAGGAAAAGAGGGAAAAAAATGCTGGCAAAAAATACGTCTTGAGGGGAAGGAAAACACAAGAAGGTGTGTCCCCTTGGTGTGAGAGGTGGGTGTGGCCAGCAGATCCCATTTTGAGCCCTCAGAGACATTGGGAGTCTCTCACCTGGAGCAGGCTAAGAAGCCTTAAAGTAGGATTCTCAGCATATGATGTTCCTGTCCTCCATCTCTGTAAACAGGGACCCTTTGTTTATTTCAGCTTGAACTTTCCCAGTAGTGAGGTAGTTAAGAAGCAAACGCATTGCAGATGTTGGGTTCTACAGACAGGACTTGGAATGTGGGTTCAAGGATACACCCATTCTGCTTGCTTCGCTGTTCTGCTTTATTTTATAGACAGGGTCTCACGTATCCCAGACTGGCTTCGAGCAAACTCACTAAATAGGCAAGGATATGCTTGAATCTGATCCTCCTGCCTCTACTCCCCAGTGATGGCTTACAGATCTGAGTCCCACATCTTATTATCCTAATGTTTATTTCTTTCTTTTCAATGTTCTCCACTGGAGTGCTGAATACAGGGACATACACTCCTTTCACTGTTTTTTTTTCCCCCAAGTAATGTTATTGCCCAAATAAGTACAATTCTCCAAAACATTTTGGTTCTGGACTCATGCACACATTTCAAATAAATTACATGCATTGAGGCATTGAGACATGATTTTAGGAGACAGATGTGTTTTGTTTGCAGTGTACTGCCCATGATGAACGTGGTTTTAGTTTAAATAGGCCCATTGTATTCTCCCTTTCTAGGGAGTTCTGGCCATCTTCTAATCTGTCCACATCTTCAGGTTCATTCAAGCCTGTCCTGATATCTTGCCTAGACTCATCTCTATCTCCTGGACTAAAGTAATCCTCCTGCCTCAGCCTCTCTCTAGAGTATCTGGAGCTGCATGCAAAGCCTCATGACTGGTTTCAGGAGCATCTCCAAGTGGGTGTAAAGCATTTAATTGAATAGGAATCAAACGGAAAAAAAAGTCAGCATTTCCATTAACTTTTCAAATATTTTACAAAATTTGCAAGCCATATATTCATTTCAGTACACGTGTTGGTTTTCCAAGTGCTCAAAAAATGAGAATGTGTTGTGTACTACATGTAACATCAGGTTTAATGGGGAAACATTTCTATTTGAGGAGGGTTTCTTAGTCTGCTTGGGCTACCAGAGACTAGAATGCTTAAATGACAGAAACATTTCTCAGAGCTCTGGCGTCTGGATTAGGACACCCAAGGTGTGGATTCTTTTCATTTCCTTGAGGTTTCTCCTCCACAGAAAGATGGCTACCTTCCCCTATGTCTATGCATGGCCTCTTCTGTCAAGAGAACACAGGCTGAGTCAGGAGAAGAGGAGCTTCCTAGTGCCTCTTCTTAAAGAAATGATGATTCTTTTGGATTAGGGCCCCAGTCCTGGTACAAATCATAACTGCTTCCTCTTAGAGATCCCTCTGTCCATAGGTCTATCCTGGAAGTTAGGGTTCCTGTAGGAACAGGTATGAGACCAGACATTCCCCAAACAATGGCTTTCAATACTGCCAAAGAGTCTGTAAAACAAATGAAGACTGGGAAAAATACCTCATGTCATTATGTTGAGTGAAATATTTGAACCCCCAAGTCCAGAGCCCTTGGTGTTAGGATATATTTAGGTTTTCTTTTTATACGTATTTAGTTTTAAAAAGGCAAAAATCGTATGCCTTGAAACAAGCAACTGTCATAATTGGAAAGAAAGTGGTGTGTCCCAAGGACTAAGCAAGTTGATGGCACATCGGACAAACAAACTCATCTTCATCCTAGGTTCCAATCAGCCACACTGGGTGGGGTGGAAGGCACTGGCCCTCCTGCACAAGTGCAGGTGGGTGATTATGGGAGATGACTCTGTTGGTAAAACACTTGCTCTGCAGATGTTGGAACTGAATTTGATACCCAGAGCCCAGGTCAAACTACTGAGTGCAGAGGTATATGCCTTTAATTCCAGCACATGAGATGCAGAGACAGGTCCAGGACTCCCTGACCAGCTAGCCGAGCCTAACTCAGAAGCCAAGGTCCAGTTCCAGTGACAGACTGTAGCTCAAAAACCAAGGCAGACAGCTTTTGAAGAAACACAAAGAAGGTCATACCCTGGCTTTCATGTGTATGTGCAAGTTCTTGTACACACATGTACACACACACACACACACCTCTAACTTGGGTTTCAAGTTACAGCACAAACAGAAAAGGAAACACTGTTTCTGATACAAGCCTATAACTATTTTCTAGGAGACATGGACACAGGCTGTGGGCCCCAGCGCCTTTGCGTTGCTGTATCACTATTAAGAAGAGCCTGGAAGATTTCCTTTCTCTCCCACTCTTGTGGCTTCATGCCCAGACTTACAGTTAGGTGTAGAATGGAGAGTCTAAGGTCCACCCAGCCTGCAAATGCATTGTCTAAATGTAAAACTGATGAAGATCACAGTGCTCCAGAAACAGTTAAGGGCTGGAGAGAGAGCAGAGCCAGGCAGGCAGGCAGCCCAGCTCTTTCAAGGAGGGAAGGCCACTCGCTTGGGCTGCACCTGCTGCCTGCGGAGTGCTCAGCTATTGAAGAGGCCTGCGGCCCGATCTGCATATCAAATAGCTGGCTTGTAGATGAGGCCATTCATGCTGCCTTCTGTGTGTTGGTCCTGCTGGGGATGGGCTGTTGTTTAGCAGCAGGCCCGTTCCCTCAGGCTCCCTGAGTCAGCAGCCCCCCTCACCCACACTGAATTCAAAACCAGGATTGATCTTCTCAGAGAAGTCTCTGATGCAATGGTAAGTCCAAGGCACCGATGATATAAGGCCACCGGGAGGTTCTTTGGTGGCTTGGCTCCATCGATCCATCGGCAAAAGCAATTCCCAAAGTAGAGGGGCAGCCTGGTCGCCATTTCCAGACTCCATCTATGATCACATGCGTATGCTCTAGTGACTAGACACAGACACAGACTTACAAGCTTCCGTTTGGTTCTGTTTAGAGATAGTCTGTCACTGGGCCACATGATGTGAGAGGAAAACTAGAACTTGGTGTGTGCTAATATGTAAAATTCCATATTTCTCAGGACCTAGATTGAGTCTGGATGACTGTGTTCAAGAAATTTTACCATTATTAGGATCTGCTAATCAGCTTGCTGCCCCACCCTGTGTTTGTGTGTGTGTGTGAGGGTGTATTGTGTGTCTGTGTATGTGTACATGTGTGTATGCCTGTGTGTATATATGTATGTACCTATGTCTATGTATGTATGTGTGTATGCTTGTCTGTGTATGTGTGCCTGTATGTATGTCTGTGCATATATACGTGTGTATGTCTGTGTGTATGTCATGTACACATGTGTGCATGTGTATGCTTATATGCATCTATGTGTGTATTTGTGTATACATGTGTGCATGTGTATACTTGTATGTATATGTATGTGTGTTTGCGTGTACATGTGTGCATGTGTGTGCATCCATGTATGCATGTGTGTGTGTTTCAAACAGGCCATTTCCTAGGAATAAAGAATAAATGGAAGTCACTAGTGCGTTTATAATATAGCCTTCATATGCCTTTCAAGAGAGAATAGCTGTTCTACTGGGCCCAATTACTTAAACTATATTTTATATTTCTCATTGTCTTGAATAAAGGAAATATCCCCAGAACAGAATTCTCTCCTACAAAAGTGAGAAATCATAACGAGAGAACAAAATTTAAGCTGTATGTGAGAGGTCAAGCATCTTCCTTTGCTGGATTTTCCTGGTTCATTGTGTCTTTGCAAATCTAAGATCCTTTTTCTGGGTATGAAAATAGCTTTTCAGGCTTGGGACATCTTGCCAAGCTTAAGGGAATGTTATTAACATGGTTGAAAACAACCACCCTCAAAGATGATGAGAAAAGGACCTGGAGCCTGTGGTTTAAGTAAACAAAATATTTTTAAAGAACGAATTTTGTTTGTTTCTTAAAAGATAATATTCTTTATCTCAGGCACCTTCCTTGAGTTGGAATTATCTACAGGGCATTGAATGTAAGTTTACAAAATTAGGAAATTATTTCAATAAAAGTCGATTTCACATTTGCTGGAGGGAAACACAGGAACAGTCAGCTACAAACCTTCAAGCAATAAAGCCAACTATATGTTGTATTTTGTGCTTTTTGAAGACTGGCAGTTCTATTGAATGATATCAATTATACCATTTTTAGTGCCTTACCAAATGCACATGAAAGTATAATAAGAAAGAGCCTTATTTGCATAACAGGGCTCATAACCCCTCCTAAATATTTAATTGAGCTTCTTTCCTTCCCCCCACAGGAAAAACCCAGGCTCAGGAACGTGTGGCTCATCAAGAACACTTAGTCTACCAGGCCAGGGATTCTGGCCTTCTCTCTCTCAGGCCCAATCCTGGTTTTGATGCAGCTTTCCCAGCAGCTAACTTGGGGCACAATCTTGTTGAAAAATTGTGGATAGGATGAGGACAGTGGACAAATACATTATTTCAAAATATTAAAAAATCAGAAGTATTTATTATACAAAAAAAAACACTGAATTTCTCAAACCCAGATCTGGAGGAAGTTAGGGCACCTATATTTCTTGATGATAGCTCTGTAGTAAAGAATAATCAAACACTGAAGGCTATTCATATAGGTCCATTTCATATACACAAAAATCAAATAAAACCTAGCAAAGAAAATATTCAGAAACACAGCAAAAGTAAATTTTGCATTACAGCATGACCCTGTCTTGAACTCTTTTTCCTGACCAAAAGCCTTTTGCAAATGAGGCTGGTGGACACTCATTATGGAGCTGGGGGCTAGTCCAGGAGCTTCTGGACCATGCTGCAAGAATCCATGTGCTTTCCACGGCAGTGAAACAGTTAAGTTCCCTCATCTCCTAGGCAACCAGCAATGGCAGTCTACATAAGAATCCTGGGGACACTGCCAATCTGCTGTTTAATAAAGTAAACTTGGATTGCTAGAGATATTTCTTCTTTTTATGTCATTTTTGGTTACTATATTCTAATGTAATGCCAACCAGCATGTTATAAGTGCAGGGGTAGAGGCTAACCCTGTAAAGAATGGTCCATTAGAAATGTTATCTTGAAAGACGCAGAGCAGTGTGTATATTCACAATGGATTCGATTTCATAAGAAAGTAACACCAAAGAAACCACGTAAGGTGTTTCTGCCTAGTGAGAAAAATTAAGAACATAGCAGAGCCCGGTTTCACAGCTTCTTTTTCAGCGATGAGAAAATATTAATTTCTGTAAGCCGCATATCGCTTGATTTTGAGATATTGATATCTTGTGATATATTTGTCTGTTTTTTTATTTATAATGTACAGCCTCTATTTTCAAAATTGTGTACTTGTCCCACTCAGACACGCACGGAAAAGATTTATTCAAAGTTCCCCAAGTTCCCCAACCGTTCTCTATTCTTTTTCAGAAGCTATGTGGTGTCTTGTGGTATTGACAAGCCCTATTAGGAAAACGAGCATGGGAGCTTAATGAGCCTTGCACTGAGCGTCAGGGAGGGGGAGGAGGAAAGCCGTGGCTTGTCCACACACACAGTGCCTAGCAGCCGGCATAGCAGCTGCCTGGCATTCTCCCGCTGCAAGGAGGCCGGTTTGCCCCCCTGCACCGCCTTTTCCTCCGTCCGACCCAACTATCCTGGTATAAAATTTGCCGCGTTCTTGACAAGCATGCAACCACCCAAACAAAACAGATAACTACTCCATTGATGAAGAGGAGAGGACGTGAAAGTGTGGACAGAAAAGTCAGGGCGGCAGAATCAGGAACAGCACCAATGGGGGGGTGGGGTGGGGGAGGGGCACAGAAGGAAACCTCTGTAAAAATGGCCCCTGCTCCTTGTCTGTGCTCCTTCGGCAGGCAAGGAGGTTGTTAACATACAGAAGTTTTGTTAAATCAAATCTTTAATTCTAAGAACACCAGCTATCTAATTTACACCCACAGCTCACTGGGTATTTCTCGTCTCTTATTTTTTTTTTCAACGTTTCTTAGATATCCCTTTGTTATCATTTTCCACTCTAGTGGAAAATCAAAGGCTTGCTTCTTCTCCACCCCCAAGAGCCTTCCAGCATTTTGCCACCCTTAACTCTGCTTGAGAAGTCAACAACACGACTCCTAGATCTAATGAGTAGAAAGCTCCAAGGAATTTGTAGCGTGTGTTTTCTTTGCACACCAAGTATATGGTCCAGTAGTAAATTCTGTGATGTTGCCTACATCTACGGTGGGTAACCCATAACCCCGTGCATCGCTTAATAGGATTTATGCTTGTTGGCTCCCTCTATATGCACTGCCATGGTGAATAAAGGAGAGGCCGAGTTCCCGTGGCAACCAGAGCCACTGCACTCCCAACTGCTAGCAAATTCTTCCTAAGCCTAAAGTGGGCAGGAGAAAGAGACTACGCTGGCCCCTGCAACAACACCACAGGCTCTGATCTGGAAGAGGGAGGCGTCCAGGCTCCGACTGAATTAGATTCTCTGATTGCTTGGCCAGACCCTTCCATGTGCTCTTCCCATGGAAACATCTGCAGCTGGAAAGGAGCCCGATCATAATTCTTCGCAGATCCCCAGCCCGTTGCTAGTCGAATGTCATCGGGGTTCCATCAAGGACGGGACTCCATCAAGGACCCAGAGAGGAGTTCTTTATGCATCTGCTCAAAAAACCGAGAAGGGTATTTTGTTGTCTTCAAGATGGCTCTTGAGCTGCGGGCAGAGCCAAGGGCTGTGGCCTGAAAGAGCGGAGTTGCTAGGAGATAAGCCCCGGATGCAGACAGCCGGCTGGAGTTATCTCTAATTGACAGCTCCTTACCCTAAGGGTCTATTTCTAACCTTGAGACCAGGACTATAATGAGAGGGCAGCTTTGCGTCACCCCCATTCCTGGTGCAGGCAGGGAGATTACTGGAGGCCTGCTTTCTTGGGGTTTGTTATGTTTCTGTAGGGGGGAGGGAAACGACGAGACGCACGGAGAGGGGGGGCTGTCTCAGCTCCAGTTTGCATCCCTGAGCCCTTGTCTGATCCATACCACCTGAATAAACTCTCCTCCAGTAGAGATGGGCTCCTTTTGAAATATCCAGCGTGTGCAAGGGAGACAAACTCTCCTTGGACTTAAAATGACTTGAAATTGAAGCAGGAAAAGTGGATTTCTTTTGGAAAAAAAAATGTGGGGATCCGATAGTCGGGGAAGGCAAGGAAAAGAAAGCAAACACAGCTTTCTGTTTTTAGGGTTGCCCCTCCCCCAGAACCCTCTTGGCTTCCAGGGAAGTATGCTCTGTGATGCTTGAGACACTGTTTAGTCCTCAAACTGGACAATAAAACCACACACACACACACACACACACACACGCACGCACACACACACGCACGCACGCACGCACACACATACATGTACACACACACGCACACACACACATACATGTACACACGCACGCACGCACGCACACACGCACATACACAGGACGTTCAGGTTGGATAAAGGGGGTATTTTCATGTGTCTTTTCCCGAAAGTTTTTTTTTTCTGAAAAATACCACATAGAAAATGCAATTTACACACAGCCTGAAGCTGAAGCCAGTAGTCCTAAGACACTGAGGCTTCCTTGCTTGTGTGGAACGGTCAGGAAGCATTTTCCTGTGTGCAGGGGGATAGGGTGGGCCAGGAGAGTTTCCAGTGTGTGGCTTGGGCCATTTCTTCGTTCCTTATTCGTCATAGCGTCTCACTGTAGTAGATTCCAGCCAGCAATTCTTCCCATGAGAAAAATGGTGTGTGGGGATTTTGAATACTAAACAAGCAATTTAAAACACGTTTTAAATCAGGAGCATATAATTTTATCAGTGATTTTAATAAACGGAATAAGAAAGTTTGAGGACCAGGTCTGGAACTTGACGTTGAAACATCTCCAGTACCAAGTCTCCCTCTAGGGGCGCTGCTCACTTTGAGCTCCGTCCCAGGGCACCAAAGGCAGGGAACCTCCATTCCCAGCTCGGTGAGAGGTATGGGTGCCAGACCAGAATCAAGAATGTTGGGCAAAATATCAAGCTGTTGCTTATTGCTTTCTAGACAGTATTGAACTTTCTACAAAGTAGGTACAGGGGAGGTCCTATTTTAAACGATACTGTCAGGGCTATCGCACCTTCAAGGGGCGTTAGTCCTGGGTTTCTTTTTTTTTTTAAAGATTTATTTATTTATTATGTATACAGTGTTCTGCCTACATGTATGCCTGCTGGCCAGAAGAAGGCACCAGGTCTCATTACAGATGGTTGTGAGCCATCATGTGGTTGCTGGGAATTGAACTCAGGACCTTTGGAAGAACAGTCAGTACTCTTAACCTCTGAACCATCTCTCCAGCCCCCCTGGTTTTCATTTAAGTTTTAAGTACGACTTGCAAATGAAAGGATGCAGTCTGTTCTCCCTCCAAATTAAATATCAATATCCAAATAAGGCTTTCTTCTTAGTATCTTTTTAAAATAAGTTTTTTTTTTTGGATGTAATTTTAAATTTGCAGAATTGTTCCAGAAAAGTAGAAAAACATCTCCGGGGTGCCCTCAGACCCAGTCTGATGTTTTTGCACTGTGAATTCCCACCCTCTCTTTGAGCGTTTATATTCTTTTTTGCTTTTCACCTTGAACAATCTGATAGTTCATTGAAGACATTACATTTATTTTTCTAGGAAAGATTTATAATTATTCCACTGAGAAAGATCTAGAAAAACGACTATGTACTGATGTAAGATGGTATTAAACTTGGGTTATTTTTAATATTAGATATTCAGAAAAGGAAGTGCCCTGGGAAGGGTCAGGGCAGTGGGTCTGTGATATGTCACATAAATCTTGGTATTTTTCTAAAGAAAAATGAATCCTGGTTTTCATTTATCACTTAGAGGGAAACCAATAATGTCAATTTAGAATAAGTATTTTTGGGAGAAAAAAGAGGGATTTTATAAACAATAAGAAACGCCATTTTCGGTATGATGTATGTAAAGTGAGTGTGTGTCTCCATAAAGTTGGTAAGCTTGGGCTTCCTCTTTGTTGCTCTGGAATCATCCATAACATTGCAGTGAGAGAGACAACAACAGAACCGGAAGACAAAGCAGTTATCCCTGGCTAGAAAAAAAGAAAATTATGTAGAGGATTAAAAAAATACAAATTAAAAATTAAGTTTTGAATACTTGGGAGTCTGAGACAGGAGGATCACAAGTTTGAGGCAGCCTGGACATCAAACCGTCACAAGCACCCCAAAAAAGGAAATTTACATCTTATTGCTGCCTTCTTCTTCTTCTTCTTCTTCTTCTTCTTCTTCTTCTTCTTCTTCTTCTTCTTCTTCTTCTTCTTCTTCTTCTTCCCAATTTTATGATCATGAATATTAGTTTGCAAAAGGGAATCAATCTCCTTGCAGCTTCTAGTAGTCTCTTGCCCCTCCCCCCAGCCACATGGACTAGTCTAGGGCTCTGGAACATCCCCAGCAGGACATGCACAGGATATGCACAGGACAGTGCTTCTCCAGGGTGAGGCTGGATGAGCCTGTATCCACTTAGCACCCTCATGGAGCCACATGGCCAACGCTGTCCTCTGCATCCGCTACAAGGGCAGCCTGTGAAACCTTTCATCCCATGTCTGTGTTTGTCAGGCCTCATAATTTCTAGTGTGACCAGCAACCATGTTCATAATTTTCTTTAAAGCAACAGTATCTCGACAAACCACTTTGAAATGCCCCTTTCCTTTATGTGAAAAAAAAATGATATGCAATGAGAATATCTTCTCCTTAGAATCCACTGGAAATTAATTCCTCATCTTTGTTTTAAAGTGACTGTAGGTGCTAGCACTTTGGAGCCTCATTAAGCGAGAGGGCAACTATTCAGGAGGTGGTCACTAACCCCCGGATGTCAGGGGACAGACCCCGGATTGTCTGTTAGCAGCTGTGCAGAGGCTGAAGGCTCCCTCAGATTCAATCACACAGCTTTTT